GCTCACACGCCTCCCAGCACTTGCCACGCCAAGCATGTGCCACGGACCATCCCGCCAGAAAAAGTCCAAGCAGCTTTGCAAGAAGCAGGTGCAGGGCGACGTTTTTAAAAAGGGGGTTGAAGGTGGCAAAGCAGTTCACACTAAAAATTCATGCTGCCGACGTGCGGGGAAAGGGGTGGAAGCAGAGAGGAGAGAAATGTGCTGTTAGACTGTCTGCAGTTCCAAGACGGACCTACCTGGCTGTACATTAACATTCCGGATTCCCTCCGAGAAGCTCAGGCAGGGCACCTGCTTCTGCCCCCACCCAGCCCATTTGACCTCACAGCGGCCTGGCAGAAGCGGTTGTGTCCACACGCCCAGGTGCCTTTCATGGCCGCGGGAGGACTGGGATCCGGGTCTCCGGCGTGGGCAACCTGATGCTCTGAACTACGGCTCCCAGCAACAGCCACCGGCATGGCCAGGGGTCAGCAATGCCTGACGGCTGTCACCCCAACCACTGGACTGCCTGTTCCCAGGCCGCCGAAGCAGGGAGCCCTTCTGATGTCGCCCCATTAACCGCCCACATAAACCAGAGAGCAGCGCAGCGCCGGGGCAACAAGACTGGTACCGATCCGGAGGCTCCCAGGCGGGGGGTGTTGCCCTGCACTGGAATCGTGCGGGCACGCTCCCCTTTCCCCCACACCACTAACTGCACAACAAGGACACAGCTGGAGCTTGCACAGTTGTCGGAAGGCTTGTGCAGGGGGAAAGATGCCTGTGCCTGACGCCTCGCAGGCCCTCGGAAAGGGTTGCTGCCGATGCGCAACATCATTTCACCCTTCGTTGCTCTTTGGCACCCGGCCAGGGCACGGCTCTTGGGCGGCTCCCTTGTGGCCACACTACTCCCTGTTGCTCCTGCAGCTGGAAATCCCTTAAGTCCCTAAATAAATAGGATCTGCCATGGCCCTTTTCATGCAGAGCTTTGCAGGCAGATTTCCCTAATAACCAGTCCGCAGATAAAGCAAGGCTGACATCTGGTGGCGGTGGGCTTTGCACAGGGCACGGACCCTCCAACCATCAGGAAAAAATGGGGCAGTTTCGGGAATAGTGAGAGACACCATTTGGCCTCTTACACTGGATGCAGCTCCACTCCTGATCTAGCAGCTCCCAGAGCTAATGGGGCAGGGAGACCTTGGGGCAGGGAGCGGGGGGGGGGGGGCAACAGCAAGGGGGCCCCTCACCCAGCCTGGCTGATCTCATAGGACCGTGCAAGGATGAAACAGAGGACATATGGGGCACCCAAGAATTATCGCAGGAAGAAAATCACCATCGCCACCTGCTTTGTCCCGGGGGCAACTTGTGGCCCTGCAGGTCAGGCGGGGTCTCCCGGGCCATCTAGTCTGACCCCCAGCTCCAGTCGGCTCCATTCATGACATGCCTACCATGTACATGTCCAGTCTATCCCTCACTGATGGGGCCTCACCCACCTCCCGTGGAAGCCCATTCCACACCCTCGGGGTCCTGAGTGTCAGGAAGTGCTTCCTGGCATCCAGACGGAACCTTGGCTCCCTGAGCTTTGCTCCCCTGGAATGTGTCCTGCCCGGCTCTGCAGGGAGAACTGGTCTCTACCCACCTCCGCATGAACACCTCTTCATGTACCTATGCATACAACATTATATGCATAAAGGTTCAAAACTACAAGATAAAATATGAATAAAATAAGATTATAGACTGGCTTGAAAGGGTTATGGCTTCTGGTCAATATTAAGTATGATGCCTTCATTTTGCTTACTCTAACCAGGCAATTTATTTATTTTTATGTGTGTGTTTAATTTCTATACCACTCAACAGCTGAAGCTCTCTGGGTGGTTCACAATGGCATATTTAAAAACAATATAAAATATACTAATTAAAACATGTTAAAACATCATAAAAGTTGGCAATACATATTTAAAACCAAACAAAAAAAATCTATGCTAAGAAGACCCAGTTAATACCTGTCTAATAACCAGCAGGCCCCATTAACTCATAAAATGCCCTGCAGTAGAGAACGGTCTTTACCAAGCACCAAAGAGATGGCAAAGTGGGCCCAGCAGACCTCAGTGAGGAGCCAATGCCTTAATTCAGGGGCCACCACTAAAGAGGCTATTCTTGTTGCTGCCACCATCCCAGATCTTGCCCACTGAAGAACGCCAGTGATGATTTCAGCAGCCCAGGAGCTGGCTGCAGATACTTGACAGGAAGGGAGAAATGTGCCCTTCAGATGTTTCAGGGTGGCTCAAGAGGTCAGCAAGAGTCTCGAGGCTCCAACCAGCGAGAGCCAGTGTGATGTAGTGGTGAAGAGCATGGACTGGGACTCAGGCGATCCGGGTTCGAGTCCCCGCTCAGCCATGGAGCCCACTGGGTGACTCTGGGCCAGTCACAGACTCTCAGCCCAACCTACCTCACAGGGTTGTTGTTGTGGGGAGAAGATGGCAGAGGAGATTGATGTAAGCTGCCTTGAGCCCTTTGTAGGAAAAAGGCAGGATATAAATCCAAAAATAAACAAACAAACAAACAAACCACCTGCCGCTGCAACTGCAGGGCAGCTGCCAGCTCTGCGTGGAGCCGTGTCGGCATCGCTGCATCTGTGAGCCATCAAGCAGGAACAGGGAGAACTTGGAGGTCGGTGGAACCAAGGCCCAGGGGTTGAAGCCCCAGGACTTTTCAAGAAGCAGGGACAAGGACAAGGACATCACCGGCCACCCCGCGGGCTCCCCTGCTCCTTCTGGGCGTGGCAGCCGTTCCTGGAACAGCTGCTGCAGGTGGGGAACGGAGCTTCCGGGCAACACCGAGCCATCCAAGCAGGAGGTCCCCGTGGCCACGCAAAGCGCTTGTGGCTCGGCCTCGAGCAGGCAAGGCAACCCGTTTGCTTTTCAGAAGAACTGCTCCAGGTGAGACGAGAACGCAAGAACTGGGTGCAGGGATTTGGGGCATGGATCAAAACAGCTGCCCGGGATTTGGCAGCCCCCGGGGAGGCGTGTTACACGGATGGTCACGACGACGTCCATGTTGAAGCTTCAAGGTGGGCTTTATGTACTGGAAGTTTCGGATGCAGTGCTCCATTTTATTCTGTGCTTCTTTTATTGCCAAACCATCCTGAAAGCTAAATAAATAAATGCCTGCTCCTCAAAACGTGCCCCCACCATCATCAGGCGGCCTGCAGCCACTGCCTCCCCCCACCCCCACCCGCTCCGGCCTCCTGCAGGGCCTCTCCTACCTTCCCAAGGCAAAGGCAGGATCTGCCAGCTTCTCCCAGCTTCTTGGCAGGAAGGAAACCCCGCTCTTCCCTCTTACCCTGGCCAAAATGGGCTGGAAGGACGAGAGGCTTCGGAGGCAGGAAGGGGTGACGGAGGAGCCCAGGAGAGGGGAGGGGCCCCCAGGGCACTGCCTGTGAACAGGGACGGACGCCCCTTCTGGGGTGGCCAGGGCATCCCCCACTGCGCAGCACACCCACCTGTGCGGGAAGCCAAGGCCTCGGAAGGCAGTGAGGAGGCCGCAAACCTCCCCTGGGCACGCGTCCATCGCAGATAAAGGGTGGCGCAGAAGCTGTCCTGGAGGAGGCCTCTGGGCTGCAAGCCCCCTGGGGCAGAGCCACAGGCAAAAGCTGCAGCCTGAAGGAGGCAGCCGGCCACCCCACACCTCAGCCAAGGGATCCCGACCTTTAGAGTGGGGGGGGGGGGCAGAACTGCCGCGGGACTGCCAAGCCATCCGGGCGGGAGAGCGAAGGCACGGCCAGGGGAAGAGGGAACCCATCCGGCTCTGGGACTGAGGTTCCGCACCCCACAGCCTTGCTTCTCCCCGCCCCAAAGCATTCACCGGAATGAGCACTTCCGGGGCGGTGCACCGGGGGATCGTGACCGGCTCTGCCACTGCACAGCGAGCAGCGTCCGCTCAGACCTGCGGGGCTGCATGCGCCCACCCAGCAGGCTCCAGCAAGAGGCAGGCAGAAGGAAGGCCAGCACCCCAGGCCTCTCCTCTCCTCTCCCACCCGCGTGCGCCTGCGTGCTTCTGCCCCCTCCCAACGTGCCCCCTCCCTAACAGCTGCACAGTGGGTTTTAATTATAAGCTGCTTTGGGAGCTGAGAAGTCGGCTCGAAATAGAATCAATAAATAAAATCCGGGGGCAGACTGATTACTATTTCACATGTTCAGGGACTAATGCCTGGTTTAAAAACGCAAACACACACACACACACAGGGGGACGGGGGTGGTAAGACTTCTAAAGTAACGAAGTGTTAGGACTGCATGTTAGGGCAGCTTTTCCCAATCCGGAGTTGTCCAGGTGTGCTGGGTTATGCCTACCATCATCTGCCATGCTTTTGCTGGGGGACGATGGGAGTCATAACCCAACACACCAGAAAGCTTGGCGCTGGGGAGGGCTGATCTTGTCTGAGGGGTCATCTCTGCTCCCACTCTGCTTTCCAGCACATGCTGACCAGAACGCAGCTGAGTGGGGCGATTCGGCTCTGCGTGTCGAATTGTCTGCTGCTAGCACAGCTCCCCCCCACCTGCCTCCTTCCGGGCACTTCGGACTACAATCCCAAGCATCTCTGGGCACCGGGAGAGGCAGATTGGCACATACAGCGCCAATCATCTTCTTGGCAGCGTTGCACAACACGCCGAGATGGCTCAGCACTGCCCTCTCCGGAAATCGCAGGAAGGGAAACGCCACTGAGCCAGACCCTCCCTGAATCTAGCCCACCCTGCAGGGCTGTTGTGGGGCAGAGGGAAAGGCATGCACAGTATGGAGGAGGAGCCAGAAGGCAATGCCATCAAAGCCACGCATGAGGGTTGCCCCCTGTCCGCCCCATATCGGGGGGGGGCTTCTTCCTGCTCCCTCCTGGCCCCTCCCACGCTTCAGAAAATCAAAGTAGGCCGTGCAAAGCAGGGCGCACGATGCAAGCTGCCTCCCGCATCGTTTCGGAGCAGGCAGAATTTGGCTTCTCGGCACAAGATCTGAAAGAGCGGCATCCAGGCGGCTCCCCACAAAAAGGCCATTTTATTTTATCCTTTGAAAGGCGGCTTTCTTTATTTTATTTCCACTTTTTAAAGAGCACACCCAAGACCAATGGCCTATGCCGGTTTCCCTGATCCCAGCGCACATTTTTACCAAGCACCATTTGAAAAAGGGCATTTTTACCTGCTGCCGCATTAGCAAAAGTCGAATACAAGATGTACAGAAGCAGTGTTAATCGTGACGGTGGGGATGACGGGAGCGGGGGCCCCGTGGCAGCGGGCCCCGGAGGGAGCAGGCAACCGCTGCCGCTTGGCCACGGGCCCGGCCCTGCCACGTGGGGGCTTGCTCAGCTCCACCGCTGCTCCTGCGGCTGCCTGCCTCCCCCGCCAGAGGACGACTCGGGGCCACGTGCGGCTTCCTCCCCAGGGCGGCTGCCCAGGGGCTCATTTCTTGATGGAAGCCAGGTAGGCGAACCAGAGGAGGGCCACGAGGTTGCCAAAGAGGACCTGGAACTGGGGACAGAAGAAGAGGGCGACAGACATCATGCTGGATGCAGCAATGGCCAGGGAAGAGGGAAGCGGCGCTTCTTGGCTTGTTTCAGAAAGGTGCGGGTTGAGGGCGATCCTTCCCCAGCCTGGAGCCGCCCAGAAACATTGGGCTGCAACTCTCCTCATCTGCCCCGATGGGAGCTGACATCCCAGATGGCTGGAGGACACCAGCGGGGAGAAGCTGGAGCTGAGAGGCGAGCTCTTCGCAGGCCCCCTCAGGGCGGCCCCTGGCAAAGGAGGAGCGGGTGGGCAGCCCCCAGCCGAGCGCTTCCAGGCCAGCTCAGGCGAACACACAAAGGACGGCTGGTCAACTGTCATGAGCCGCACTGGCTAAATGAATCCTCCAGGTATAGGTGCAGGGTACCCACCATTCCATCCTGCTTCCACAGCAATCAGCAACTTTCTAATTTTTCAGCTGCATGAAAATGTGCGTTCCTGGAGATATTTTCCCCCCACACACAAAATCAGAGAATCAAAAAGAGAATTGTAGAAAGAATTCTATATATCTGTCTGGGGAGTATAAATCAGGTCAGTTCAATATTTAGACCAAGCAGAACCCCAAAGCATCCCCAGTCTTAATAACTGAATGATCGCAGAGAACAAAACTATTCTACAGCGAGGGAGAATCTGCTTGCACAACCTCACTGCGGCTAGCTTTGGCCAAGCTGCAAACTTCATTTACTTGTTATAATATATTTGTTTTCTTATGTAAGCGCCAGTGAGGTATAGTGGTTAAGAGCATGGGACTGGGACTCAGGGGATCTGGGTTCTAGTCCCGACTCAGCCATGGAGCCAACTGGGTGACTCTGGGTCAATCATAGACTCTCAGCCCTGCCTACCTCACAGGGTTGCTGTTATGGGGAGAAGACTGAGTGCAGGAGGAAAGGTCTGAGTTCTTTGTAAGAAAAAGGGCAGGACGTAAATCTCAGAAATATATAAATAAGGGATGTTTTGTGGCTGAAGGAGGACTAGAACCCAGGTGTCCAGAGTCCCAGACCTGTACTCTAACCACTATACAAACTGGCCTCATCTTCAAAAATAGGCCACATTCCCAGAGTAGGGCCCCCCCAGATGCACTGCACTACAACTTACGCCCTTGGCCACAGTGGCTGGGAAAGATGGGACTTGCAGTCACACATGCTGCCATTGAAATAGGTAATAAATGAAAAATAAATACATAAGGAAAAAGGACAAAAGAAAGAAACAGGAATTGCAGCATCACACGTGTGCCGAGCACCAGCTCAAGGAAGGCTGGACTGCGACTACCTCCACATACCCCAAGCTGTGCAGACACTGCTTAGAAAATGTGCGCGAGCACCGGACGCCCACAAGGACGGGGGAAGTGCCACAGAGGCCCCCTGCCAAGGGGAGCTGCTCCGAGAAGGGGCCAGCCAGCTGCTCACCTGCATCGGGACATAATACAGGTTGATGAACTGGACTGGCGTCCACATTTTCCAGTTCATTTTGAGGGCTGCCCAGTAGCCAGACTTCATCCTCTTGACAAATGCAGAAGCGCCCTTTCCCTGAAAGACACACGGCAATAACCAAGAACAGCACAACCGTTGCGTCGCATCACACTCTCCACGCACCTGGGCCACTGGGGGGGGGGGCGGTGTCCCTTCCCGGGAGGCCTCTGCAAACCGGGCACCGCAACCTACGATCTGGAAGCAGAGCGGAGCTTGGTGGGCACAGAGCTCAGCATGGGGCACGGGAGGGATTGGGGCACACTGCCCAAATGAGCCACAGGCCTCGGTGGGTTGGGGGGGCATTCCAGAGCCTCCCCAGGTGAGCACAGTCTACAGGGAGGGTCACAGAGGAAGAGGGGGCAGCCTCACCGGCATCCCATTCCAAAACCAAACACTGACTGCATTTGCATCCGCCGCTTTCCCTCCAAGGAGCTCAAGGCACCTTCTGTGCTTCTCCTCCTCTACATTTTACCCTCAGCAACCCTCTGAGGTAGGCCAGGCTCAGGATTAGTGACAAGCCCAAAACTACCCAGGGAACTTCAGGGCCAAGTGGAGACTAGAGCCTGGCTCTCCCCAGTACGAGCCCAATGCTTTAACCACTGTGCCACACAGCCTCTCCAAAGAATAGGACTGTGTTGAACTGAGGACAGAATCATCTATCTAGAAATGGATATACAATTGGTGTAATGAGGTCAAAAAATGAACAACGGAAAGCCCGCACGGTGCTGCCCTTTGCCGCAACTGCCCTTCCCGAACAGGTGGCTACCTGGCCTCCATTTTAAAACCCCGCTGAAGGACGGCCCATCACACTCCAAGGACGCCTGTTCCACTTCCAGTGGGTCGTGCAAGCAGGAAGGCCCTCCTAACATTCAGCCTGTTTCCCATGCTTGATCATCTGAACCCACAGAGTTTGGGTCCCGTTCCCTGGAGCAGAATTCCGCAAGCAGCACGGCTGCAGCGAGTCAAACACTGCAGGGGTGCAAGTCGCAATCCAGCGCAGCACGAGGGCACCAGCTTGCCAAAGCCTGCTCTGGAGCAAGAGCAGCCCATCTGACCCTTGGCAACAGCCACTCAGAGATTTGGAAACGGTTCTTGTCCCCTGCTGAACATCCCTTCCGAGCTGACATGTACCCAACGCCTTTGACTTCTCTCCCGAAGGACTGTCTCTAGGCTTCCCAACGGTCCTGCCCATCTCCGGGGACACGGCCCAGGTTTTCTCAAACTTGCCACAGCCAGAATTGGGTCTAGCAACACAGGAATGGACTGCGCAAGGCAGGCTGAGCAGCCCCGTTAACCTCTTGCCTTTTCCTGTCAATGACGCACCCCAAAGTGCCCCGAGCCCCTTGCCACCACATCCCTCCTGTGGCTGCAAGCCCCTGCCAGACGCGGAGCCCCCCTACCTCCAACAAGTTCATGACGAAGAAGAAGAGTGCGAGGAAGGCTGGAGCAACGACGAGGCGGTCGAGAAGAAGGCGCCTGACGACCGCAAAAGGCACGTCCGACGGGATCAGCTGTTCCAGGTACAGGTAAAAGTAGTGACTGAGTGGCCCCGTGAACAGGAACCTGGCAACAGAGGGAGGACAGAACATTCGGGTCAAGAGCCTCTTCTACAGAACCAGGTCCAAAATCAAGAAAGCGAGCCTCAAGCCGCATTGCCCTGGCTACAGAGAACATCCCTCCAACATCGGCTGCTGGCCGAGCCGCACCGTGTCGCTTCCACACCATGTGAGGTCCTGGCTCCCCTCCAGCCGGCACTGGTGAGCCCCGTCTTGAGCATCGTGTCTGCTTCTGAGCTCCACAGTGAAGGAAGATGCCGACAAGCCAGGCAGGAGGGGCGGCCCCGGCAGGCGGTGGGGCCGCAGGAGACAATCCGGAGGCACAACAGACAGAAGGTAGAAAGGGCGCGTATCTCAGGGAAGCCTGCACGAGAGGAGACCTCCACCGGGAGGCGGAGGCTTAGCGATAAGAAAACGAATGATGGAGGCTGGAAAATACAGGTATGTTGTTCCTTAGTCAGGCAGGCAGGCAGGCAGGCAAGGAAGTGCTAGAGATCTGGAACCAAGGAAGGAGGGCGACATTCGCACACAGGCCTGGTTCAGACAAGACAATGGCCCCTTGTGAGTTCATTAAGTGCCTGATCCTGACTAGTCTTGAAAGCTAAGCAGGGTCAGGCCTGGTTAGCATCTGGAAAGGAGGCCCGAGTCCTGCATTGAGCAGGGGGCTGACCCGATGGCCTCCTAGGCCCCTTCCAACTGTCTGATTCTACGAACCCTCAAGTGCTTGCCATTACAGGTTGCCACAGTGTGTTGCGTCATCCAAACTGTGAGGGTTATTCAAGGGTTGAACAACCTTTGCACAACCCTAAAACACACTGTGGGCTGTTTAAACCTTCAGTAACCCTCTCTGGCCAAGTTCAGACACACAATGAGCTGCAAAGGCCCCAGTTAGTGGCTGCATATTTATCCTGCTGAATGGCGCATGCCAAGCACAATTAACCTGTCATGGGCTGCCACCTCACCTGAACTGGACCAGAAATTCTCATTCCCCAGCCCAATGGTAGCGGTTACACACGAAACAAGGCGTGCCCTCCTTCCCAGAAGGCAACGCGAGCGAGCGTGCCTGCTGCAGGCCGTTCGCAGGCCGATTTCGACACACGCTCCACAGGCCGCTTGGGCCCACCTTCAAAGAGCAGCTCCATCTCAAGCCGCCCCACACGGAGTCACATCTGTGGGCTACCTAGTCCAGCGCAGTCAGTACGGACTGGCAGTAGCAGCTGTGCCAGCTGTGCCAGGCTCACAGGCGAGATTCAAGCCCAGCTGGAGATGTCGGGCATCAAGCCTCGGGACTTCAGCATGCACAGCCCTGCCGTGGCGCCACCTTAAGGCCTGTCCCTCCAGGTTCTCTTCCCAGCCCTACACGTACCCATAGATGGCAAACCTCAGGGGCCCCCGCAGATCCAAGCCTCCCTTCTTCTGTCTCTTCTCGATGATCTGAGCAACAAGACTCCCAAGAGCTGACAGCAGGGAACTGCAGGAGGAGAAGAGGCAGCATCAGACTCCAGAGCCTTGATACAAGAAGAATGCGATGATACAAGAAGAGCTACTCCAGGAAAAATTGCAGCCCCAAGCCGAGGGACCGGGCCAGCCGGCATCACAGCAGGAGCACAGCATCTCCCACCTGTGGAGGATTATGTTACCTGCCCGTTGAAAACCGACATGTCAGGAAGGAGTCCTCCTTGAGATGCTGTTTCTGTATGCAGGAAATTTGCTTTACTTGTATGCGACCTGCAATTCCGATTTGCAATCCCCCACCCACTGACAGGAAACAGTCCTGAAATATCCCTGATAGACCTCCCTGTGTTGCTAGACCTTCCTAAATGCACCTCTTGCTCAGAACCTCAGGAAAAAATTGCATATAAAGTGGTGGGTTAGAGATCACGAGCCTGTAGTTCCAACTTTGACCTTGATTTAAGAGCAGAAGAACAGAGCAAAGATTCATCTGGTGCAGCACCAGCATCCAGCCTGCCAGATCGGCTGGAGACGCCTACAAGCCCCACTTCTTCCCAGTCTCTGGTATTTCAAAAACGTGCTGCCTGCTTAGTCCTAATGGGCCAGTGCAACCTGTGAGTTGCAACCCGCAACCAAGACTATCACTCCAGCCTCCGGCATAACACCTGCCCAGCCAGGGGGACACGTTTCTAAGCTCTGCCGCTTCAGAGAACATCACTGCCTCACTCAATGTGCCAACAATGCATCACCCTGCCAGACTAGAAAGATGCACAAATGGCCATGGAACATGCTGCCTGGGGGTGATGGGAGTTGTGTTACAAACCGTCTGGAAAGCACCGGGCTGAAGAAGGCTGGACTTGACACTAGAGACTCGTGGTACAACAGCTTTGCTTCTGCATTGGTCAAGCTACACGGGGGCCTATGCCCAGTTCTGGGTGCCACATTTTAAGAACACTTGTCCTGAGAAGAGTGACCAGGATGGTGAGGGGTTTGGAAAACAAGCCATATGAGGAATGGTGGCAGAAATTTGTGCTCTTGGCCTAGAGGTTAAAAGGTGCAGTTTTAACCTTGTGAGAGCAGTTTTCAAACATCTGAAATGCTGCCATGCAGAAGATTCCTGTTGGAATAGTTAGCTACATACAAGTATAAAAATAAATAAATAGATAGGTAAGATGGGACAGCCTTGTTCTTTGACGCTTTGGAGTGCGGCGCTAGGGTAAGCAGGTGGAAGAAATCTCCTAAGAGCAAAAATGGCCAGGATGGGAATAAGTTGCATTGGGAGGGGGTGGGTTCTCTGTTGCGGGAGGCATTTAACCAGAGGCTAGATGGTCAGTTGGCAAAGATGCTGCAGCCACACTGCAGTGCCCAGTTGCACAGAGCAGAGGGTCAGCCCAGATGACCTCCAAAGACCCTTCCCACTCCAGGATTCTACTAACTCAGCCAAAAGCCTTTAGCAGCCTTTGCCAACTGCCCGTGGCCTACTGCAGCCTTCAGAAACACAGCGATCTTCAGATGCTTCAGACTACAACTCCCAGTATCCCTGCCACTGACCATCCTGGTGAGAGCTGATGGGAGCTGAAGGCCAATACTTCCGGCAGGAACAAGGCTGAGGAAGGCTGACCTCCTAACGAAGGGGGTCACTGCACTTCTGGGGCAGCTCCAACCTAGTCCATCCGTCTCCAAAGGAGACTTGGAAGCTTTCAACAGAGACATCCTTTTAAAACCTCTGTATGTGAAATTGTTTGTTCTGCTCCAGTTCGTATCTAATTTATCCAGATACCAGATCTGTGGAGAAACATTTCCCTTCCCAGATTTCTAGAACTGACTGATGACTGTGAATGATCCAGGTAAAAATAAGGACTAACCAGCCAGTGAACTCAACTTCCCCTCATCAGATGCATCAAGCATTATCCTTGAGGGGCACAACTATATCACAGGATCCTGTACTGTAATGGATACAGTCCAATCTGATGCAAGAAAACTGCAACGCTTTTATTTTTATGTGTTTTTATTTTGTTTTGATTATCAAAATTCACAATAAAAAGCAATGAATATAAACGAGTATATTTGGGGCAACAGCAGAGTATAAACCGTAAGATCAAATGTTACGGGATGATGGGACTTGTCCAAACAATTTGGGAGGCATCACGTCTGGCTGACACATACGCAAGGGAACCACAGCAATAACTGAGGGCAAGGCAAACCCTCCAGCATCCAGATCAGCATATTCGGCAGACTAAATCCACTCCTCAGTGCTGGCTGGGAAGGATAGGAAAGGCTGTCAGGCTGGGGAAGGCTACTGCAGACAGGCATCTGGAAGGAAGTCTCACTCCGGTGAGGGCTTGTTTCTCCGTGAACGGGCTTAAGGAGAGGCTGCAAGGATGCAGTGCTAAATTGCGCTGTAGCAGATCAAGTGGCTGAACCGGCTGAGCAGACTCTGCTAAATTTCACTTCTGCTGGAATCTTAAGTGGAACTTGCCAGACACTTCAGTTATACACGATCCACCGGGGCCGTTTCCAAGTTAAGTTGTTTGGGGCCAGGAGGTCCCTTTCACACGCATTCCGCCACCTCCGGTGCACGCAAGCCCCAGTAAAGGTGCGATCCTATGCATGCCCCAGGGAATATAGGGAGCTGGGCGCCTCCACCGTCTCGACTTGCACACTAAGCTCTTTATTTTTAAAAAGAAACTATTGGGGACGCACCTCCTGCCCTAACTCAGAATTCAGCGGGAGCTGCTTTCGGGAAGCAACTGTGCCTAGCAGGGATCGGGCCCTCCAAGGAGGAATCCAGCAAAGTGCACGGAAGTGGCTGGATGTTTCCTCGGGGGTAAGGCACACTGAGTTCGGCGGATCTCGCTCTCCTCAGCCTAAGCGGCGCAGGGTTGAGGCCCCGCTTCTGAGCACGTGCACGTGCCTGCTCGCCGCCCTCGCGCCCGGGGCTGGGCTGCGGGGTCGAGGCCTTACTCGCGATTAGATCGCGCTCTGGCTCGCAGCCTCCCCGACTCGGGCTCGTCCCCGAACACGCACCTGGACACGGATTTCGTGAGCACCGGGTAGAGGCGGAGCAGGAGCAAGTAGCGCGCGAGCAGCCTCTGGGGCAGCGGCCCCGATTCGGGCTTGGAGAGCACCGGAGACATCGCGCGGGGAGAGGAGCGGCGCGGCGGCCGCTCCGGGAGGGACAAGAGGGCAAAGGGCCTCCGCGCGCACGCGCACGGGCAGCGGGCGCCTCCCGGCACCAGGCGGCCCCACCCTCCCGGCGCTGCCCATCCATCGGCCAATCAGAGCAAGGGGAGGAGCCGCACGGGAGGGGGCGGGCGCTTTTTCCCATTGGTTGCGAGAGGGAGCGTGCTGGGCGGAGGGTTTGCGAAGTCGGTCGAGTGTCGCTGGCACAAGGAAGAAAGGTGAAGGGGCGGAAGTGGGCGTGTCAATCACTTTGAGGGGCGCGGAGAAACAGACCCCGGGGAAGGTAGAGCCGCCTTTGAGGCGGGGAACCCTTTTCCATGGTTAAGCGAAAGGGGCGGTTCCAGGAGCGGAAACGTGATTGGCGGTGGATCGTGGGGCGGTGCATGGATGACAGGCAGCCGCGCGCGTTCGGAGGGATCTCGCGAGGCTTGGCGCGTTGCGCGCGAAACTGTGAAGAGGCTCGGGCGACCGCGGAGCTTTGCCGGGATGGCGCAGAGGAAGGGAAGGGGCGGCGGCGGATATAACAGCTGGAGGCGCCGATGGGCAACCGACACCCCTGCGGCAGATGGCGAGGGAGAGGCCCCGCGGTAAGGAAGGGCGCTTTTTATTTCCAAATCCAGGCCCCTAAGCATGTGCAGAGTGCGTTCTCGCCGCTGGCGGAACGAGCTGGGGCAGTGATGGAGGTTTAAGTGCAGTGGTCCTTGGAGCATGCGCAGACTGTATTTTCAACAGCACCCTCGCGACGGAATGGAGCGTACGCAGAATAAGTTTCTCTTGACACTTGAATAGCGTTGGCAGGGATTTATTTCTCTTTAAAATCATAGGAGGAGCTCTCTGAGCATGTGCAGAGTGCAATTCCAGTATAAATTCGAGCAAGGTTCAGTTTTCCTAGAAACACTGTTAAGGCAAAAGTTTAGATGCAGAAAAGTCCACTACTCCCAGTATGCCTAGCCAGCAAAGTTGTAACCATTGATTTGTCAGAACTCTGGCCTGGGCAAACTGAGAGTTACAGAACTTCCTTTCTGTTTAAATTGGTATAGGGTCCTTATTTACTAACCTGTGAGATACTCTATGTGTATGTGCAGCATATGTTTTCTTGGCAACACTTTGGGATTCACCCAGCTTTTGTCATGAACGGATGCCTTTGCGGATGAGCAGAAAGCATTTCTATCTCTTCCAGGAGCTGCTGTCAATGCATATTATTCAGCATATATATTGAATGGCAAATACAGGGTATCCATGAATCTGTGTCCCTCCCTCGCCAATGAAAGTGATGGAGCAGTGATCAGACTTCTTTTAAAAAATATTCTGTGGACCTCCGAACATATGAAGCGTAAATGTCTTGCATCCTTAAAATGAGCTATTGCTTTGATCTTGCATTATACTGTTGCATTGCTTCATTAGCTTTTATTTGGCAACAGTTGGTAAGGTACCAAAATCTGGGGTCTTCAGTCTTTTTAATTAACAAAGCCTGTGAATGTGCGGGGTATTTCTGCATCCAGTTAGTTTTCTGTTAATAAGCTCTTGTCATTTGCATAAATTCCAAAGCTATTTGCAAACGAGCACAGTGCAATAAATAAAGCGTTTTCTAAAGGCAGCTCTTCGCTCAAGGAAAATCAAAGCAAAAAGGTAAGTTTTCTATAAATGCATAAACTAGGTTGGTGTTGATTCCTGGCATACCACAGAGGGGAAATAATTCCACAGGGTGGGCACTGCCATGGAGAAGGCCTGTCTTAATGTCACCACCAAATGGAAATCCACAGCACCAAATAAGGAGATGAAAAGGAAAGGTGTGATATTTAAGCACTGTGCTTTCTATTAATTAAATGGATATAGACAATTCGGATGCTATTCTCCTGGAGGCATGGTGTTGGATCCAGATCTAGTCATACTTGGAATAGATCCATTGCAGTTGATGGGGAGCCATGAGTAACCTCTCCCAATTTCAGTGGGTCTCTTCTAAGTATGACCAAACCTGGGTCCATCCAGTGGGAAATTTATGCCAACTAGAGCAGTCTTCCCCAATCTTGTGCCTTCCAGACATGTTTGGACTGCAACAGCCAGAATTCCCAGTCAATGGCCCTGCTGGTTGAGAATTCTAGGAGCTGCAGTTGTAATGCCTCTGAAGGCCCTATGCTGGAAAAGGCTGAACGAGAGCGTAGAGGAGGCATTGTTCATTCATTAATCTCTGGCTCCAAGAGGTGAATGAGGATTTTAAGCATTGCCCACTGTTCTGAAATGCTGCATATTGAGATCGTGCTATATAAAATGAATCAAATAATGAATAATAACAGTCATAGATTTTTTTTGCAATTGGATTTGAAAGTTGTGAGAAGCTGTATTTTGCAGCCTGTGTCTCATTTTGCAGCTTCGCTGCAGAGTCAGGGCCTACATGTGTCCCTCGCTACAGACATTCTGCTAGCTTTTGTCACGAAGGTGCTTCCCCTGCAGTCTCCCGAGTGCTTGCTTCTGCTGTTTTTACAACTTGGCAGGTGGAATGCTGCAGCTTCTTGCCTTCTCTTGCCACAGGGATGACAGCTCCTCGACCTCTGCTCTTAAGCGCTTGGAGCGCAGCCAGTGGACAGACAAGATTGATGCACAGTTTGGATTTGAGAGGATGAAGGAACCTGCAGAAAGGACAGGGTGGTTGATCAACATGCATCCAGTGGGTACCCCCCGTTTCTCCCTCAGTGTCTGGAGCTCATGTTTTGCTGAGCACGCTTGAATGTATTTCTCCTCGCGCTTACCGTGGGAACGGGGACTTTCTCTAATCTGACAGACTGCTGGGGAGCCGATGCCCAGCAGGCATTCTAGGATAGTTTACTCAGAAAGTTTAATATGGAGGATGAATAAGATGTCTCTTCTGTGCTCTTCTGTGCTCTTCTGTGCTCTTCAGATGTCTGGGTGAAGGCAGAAAATTATTTTTGCTCTTAATCTCCTGCAGTTTTTCTGCCCATCTCCCTCCCCCTGAGGCTCCAGTTGTAAAACCATGGCAGGCTTACACATATGCCTGTCATGATAATATATGCTGTGAAACAAATTGCTTTTGTTTGATATTAGTTGGGAGGTCATTATCCATTGTCTGGACACGCTGTTTCAGTGCTGCAACAGCTGGGTTCATTGCCTGTTTTGAAGCAGTTGTGCCACTCATGACATTAAGAATCTGTTTGCTTTTATCTCCATCATAAGAGATACGGAATAGGAGGTCGTGGTGTTGGCATTGTTTATTTCATTGCTTGCTCTCGATGGCCTTTTCTGTTTTAGACAGAGATTTTGGATGAGAATAAACGCTTGGTCAGTGCAGTGGATTATTATTTCATTCAGGAGGATGGAAGTAGGTTTAAGGTGAGTACCTATGCAAGGAGAGGGGCCTATAGGGTGTGAAACTTACCAATACGGGCAACTTGAAGAACATTCTGAACATTTCAGGAGGTAATTGGATGGATAAGTAAAAGACTGCTGGCATTTCATTGGCTGTTTGAATTAATCAGCCTTTTCCCCTCCCGCATTATGTGACTGGTGATTTTCGGACTGTCTTTTCGCACTCACTTCCATAATGTAAAGCCAGGGGTCCTTGTCATAGAGCTGAACTGAACTGGGGTTCAAGGAGCACATAAAACTGAAGCAGAAATATCTTCCTCCTTTAAACTAGTAACTAGTAAACTGTTCTAGCAGAACAATTGCCCTTTGGAAGAAAACCATACATGCTAAAGTATCAGTTTTCCTGTGCAGGGCCAGCCTCACAGCAAATTACGGTGAAAAGCCAGGCTTGTAAAAGAGCAGTGCAGCCCTGTTGCCTGTACAGAGCTTCCTTGCAGTGTATCTGCGGAGCGATGCTCTGTGCTGGGCACTCAGTTCAGGGGAGGCCTGGCCAGAGCCAAGCCCCTCTGCAGAGCAGGCCCACGCAGGGAGAGTTCTTTTATCATGGGAGGCTCGAAAAGCACCGCTCTCCCATGCTGGTCTCTCGTACAACTTGAGACGGAAGGAATCACAAATGCAGTGGGGTTGTCCTTTGATTCTCCGTTCATCTCTTACAGCCCTGCCCCATTTTCCAGGAACTCAGAGTGGGTGCCTGGAAAGGAGGTGCCTCCAGGTGCTAGCAGTGCTGTGTGCCAGCTTCACCTGCAGCTTGCTGTCCTAGCTAGGACTCAAGAGTGGTGGGCAAAGCTACCTGGTGGTGCCTGGAAGAGCAGATCAGCTGCCTTTCCGCCCCCTTTCCCTTTGGGCAGGGAGGAGGAGTGACCATGCTCAAGATTTCCATGGTCCGAAGGTTTCCCATCACTGCCTTATAGTCTTACGAACAAGGATACTTTCTAAGACACCAGTATAATTGATGTGCTCTAACCTCTTTGCCTCTAAATGACACTGTGCCTGCAGAATTCTGTTCTCTGCCACCATTTTCTTGTTCCATGGAAACGAATTCGCAGACAGAACGCAGAAGTGTTTTCTTGCCTCCCTCGTGGATGCGTTCCTGTTTTGACAGGGCGCAGAGAAGCGCATGCTGTTGCTAAGCATGTGGAAGGAAGGGGGCTCTGCTCTTGTGAGGCAGAGTCATGCAGGATTCACTCTCTGCTCTTTCCTAGGTGGCGCTGCCATATAAGCCCTACTTCTACATTGCAACTCAAAAGGTTAGTATGAAACCCTCTCGAATCCCCCAGTTGAATAGACTCAACTCTGACTGCAGCATCCTGGGAGCTGTAGGATTTTTTCCTGCCTAAGGGCACACAGCACTATGCCTTTAGGCTTCAGTCCTGTACTCACTTACCTGGACCTAAGCCCTACTGAATTCAGTTGATCTTACTTCTGTGTAGAAATGGTTAGGTCTGCACTGTTTAGAAGTTTTAGCTAAGACATGGAGCAGGCTGAAAGCCTTTGACTTGATGGCTGCTCGGCCTGGTATGTGGTCTAGTGCTGTAACTTTCTTGTGAACCCTGAGAAATTCTTGGAAAAGTGTAAGGACTTCATTGAGGAGATCAGCAATGGCAGGCAATCTTCCCTGTATGACAGCTTGCCCATGATTACCGTCCTTCAACTCTAGCAGAGCATTTTTTCTTAGCCCCCTCATGTATGGTCATCCTTTTAGGGTTGTGATCAAGAAGTGTCGTCCTTCCTTGCCAAGAAGTTCCAAGGCAAAATAGCAAAACTGGACACTGTACCCAAAGAGGATCTGGACCTGGTGAGGAATTCAGTGCGATTGCTGCGGTGTTTAGGTACTGTTACCCTGCATCCTTAGGAAAGCCGTGGCGGAGGAGCGATGGCCTGGAGAGGCAGTTGTCTGCGGGCTGCTGCTTGCTCATATCTCTGTGTACAGCAGCATGAGAATTGCTGCATGCAGATCCTTTCTATTTCGCATCTTGGCTAATGGGGAGGGTCTATCGGTCAGAGATAGGAGAGCCCCTCCTTTGCATGCAGAAGGGCCCGAATTTGGTTCCTATAAATCTAGCTGAAAGGGTCTTGTATGGCAGGTGTGGAGAAAGAAGTCCTGCCAGAGACACGGGACACGGGGTGGCGGAAGCAGCCGCTGGTTAGACTAAATGGCACTGCCTTGATGGAGCAGTGACCTGGGTCAATTTAGGAAGCACAGACAGGGTGGATATTTATTTATTAGATTTATATCCTGCCTTTTTTCTGTCAAAGAACTCGGAAACAGCTCACATTATTCTCCTACTGCTGCTCTCAGTCTAATCCCCACAACAACCGAGAGTTAGGTTGCACTGAGAGTCTATGACTAGTCCAGAGTCACTCCGGTGATTGTGCTTTGTCTTGTTATGCCATTTTCTTTCCACTGGCTGTACAAGACAGCTTCGTACTCCCTGCTCTCTCCTGCCTCACCTCGGGCGTGTGCGTAATGTGACTTGTCTTACCTATTTCTCTTACTAGCTTCTGGACATCAGTTGCTGTTGTGTCACCTCAGTCTCACTTCTTCCGCACATGCCCAGTGCATCTCTGAGGCGTGCCATCTTTACTTAATGCACCCTGGTTTTTTGTAGCCAAATCATCTGGTTGGCCTGAAAAGGAACTACATCAAACTGTCCTTCAACACTGTGGATGACCTTTTAAAAGTTCGCAAGGAGATCACACCTGCTGTAAAGAAGAATAGGGAACGGGATCAAGCTGTGGACACTTACACCACCATGCTGGCTAGGTAGCGTATCCCAAGCTCTGGATCTGCTTCCCAGCAGAATTGCCTTGGAACTGAGTTAAGGTAACATGCAAGAAGGGGCTTTGCTAGTTGCCCTTAAAAGACCAGTCGTAGCTCTGTTCTTTCTCATTAGAAATGAGCTGTGCTTGATTGGTCTTATGGGGGATTACTGTGCTCTTTTCCTATTCTGTGGTTTGTGTTTCTCTTTTCATTCTAATCAGTCGGTTGATACATTGATAAAACTTGCTTTCTTCTATTACCTATCGCGTAGGTGAATTATAGAATCATACAGTTGGAAGAGACCTAGAAGGCCGTCAGGTCCAGCCCCCTGCTCAGTGCAGGAAGCAGCTCTCATCCAGATTCTAACCTTGTCTGACCCTGCTTAGCTTCCGAAATGAGGCAGGGTCAGGCACTTCAGGCTATACAGAAGCATTTGTGCTGCCTGATCTGTTCTGTTGTGCACATATAATTATCCGTGCTTCTACTTATCTCACTTGGGAAGGAGACTCTTGACTCCTCCCATGCTCCTTTACAAGCTAGAAGCACAGAGGCATCTTCTTTTGGAAGGGGTCACCCCTCAGTTGCTTTTTCCTGCTCTTTTTCTTTGGAGCAGAAAGAGCCATGGCCACTGCACCCACCTTTTGCTTTCTCCATGTTCTGAGGGCTGAGTCACTGCAGTGGCATTGGAAGAAGCCACTTGCATGGGGCCTCTTCCCGTGCTGCCCCAGAATCATTTGGCTGTAGGAACCACGTGGTCTCTTCCACATCGGCAGCAAGTCATACGCACAACCCATAAGTTTCAGTATCTAAACACTGCTGGGAGGTGACCTTCAGATAGGTACCATGCTGTTGGCGCATGGTAACATGGTTCTGGCGCCCCATACGTGGTTCTGGTGTCCAGGCGTTACCAAAACAGTGTGGGAAGAAGCCACAGGAAGGTGGACTAGTGCTTTAATTGGCTCTGCGGCCCACGTGCAAACGGAGCTTGCTCTTGGCCTTGCAGTGCTCTTGCCGGGAGCAGCCTGAGCCATAAGCAGGAGGAGGCCTCCAGAAAGACTGCAGACCAGATGGACAACATAGTGGACATGCGGGAGTGTGACGTGCCCTACCATATCCGCCTGTCCATCGACCTGAAGATCCACGTGGTAAGTGGGGAAGGGGGCCCTTCCTTGATGCCCAGGGACAGGCCCCAGGCAGGCTGTAGTGCAGTGTGGCAGCGTGGCAATGCTGAATTTCAGCATGCACCAGCTCCTCCCCCCACGTTCCTTAACTTTACTGTATAAACATGCACAGGTTCTTTGGAAGTGACATGGACGGAACGCTTTTCTTGGAAAGCACATGTCGGCCCCTCCGTTTTGGACTCGCCTTAAAGGAAAGAATTGCTAGGATTAGATGGAAGAGTTCTTGCTTTCTTTCTGCCGCCTAATCGGGCCACAGTGCCTTTCCCAGGATCCCTTCTGCGGTTCAGAGTGAATGAGCCCCTATTTCTGACCTGTCCCTGTTATAAGCTTTGCTTGCAAAAAGCACGGAAACTTGTTCTTTAGAGTTGTGGAACCTGGGAAAGAAAAGTTGCATCATTTGAAGGCTGATCACACAGTTAGCTGCAGGATGGAACCAATGATGTTTTACAGCCCAGAGCATCATTTCTCCCCGAATCTGCTCTCCCTGGAAGCCCCTCTCTGCACCCGCAAGGCCTCCCATCTCTCAGTTACAGGATCTTTCACTCTGCTCTTGCTCTGTAGCAGCCTCGCTGTGGACACCATCTTGGCCTGTGCTTCCTTTGCGTTGACTTGTGTTCATTAAAGAGCAGTCGCGATGCAGGACGCAGGAGCAATAGCGTTACTGGGGGTGGGGGTGAGAGAGTGGGGGCAAGCTCCGTCTCAGAGTAACTGTGGATTCCCCTCTAACTGTGACAGGCTCATTGGTACAATGTTCGCCACCGGGGTAGCAGCTTCCCACCAGAAATCACACGTCGAGATGATTTGGTAGAACGGCCAGTGAGTATTTCTGTGGGGAGAGCCCCTATGCCGGTATCTCTGAGGCTTCATCACTGAACGGCTCGTTCACTGTGGCGCCCAGCAGAGAGCAAAGGCTCTTACAGCATCCTCCAGGCTGCGGCCCGCATTTGCCTGCACTGTTTCATGCAACACTCCTAGCAAAGGCTAATTCATGAGCGTGGAGCTTCATGCTTGTAAGCCAAATCACACCCTCCTGGGGACTCAGGCCGGCCCTCTGGGCTTCCTCAGAGAGCCATGCCCACCCCTCCCACCCCACTTCCAAGTTTCCTGGCTTCAGTTCAGTTCTATTACTCGTGTGAAAGGCTAAAATGCTTTCTCCTGGGCCTGATTGCCACCAAGAAGAGCTTCAAGGCAAAACCCACTGGAATCGTCGTTGCTTTGGTCCTCAGCCCTTTGGCGTTCAGCCCCACCTATTTCTGGGATGGAGCCCACAAAAGCCCCTCCACAGTGAAATTTGGCCTTTGGACTGAAAGAGGCTCAGCACCCCAGGCCAGATGGCATGTGGGGGATACGGAGAGTGTGGGTGAGGAGGTGTCGTGCCTGTATTTCTGAATTCAGAAGTGTGCTTCCTTCTAGGATCCTGTTGTTCTGGCCTTTGACATCGAGACAACGAAACTCCCTTTGAAATTTCCTGATCCAGAAACAGACCAGATCATGATGATCTCCTACATGATTGATGGCCAGGTGACTGGCACGGTTCCCTCTCCTGTAATGAGGCTGCAGAACAAGCCAGAAAGATGCTGCTATGCATGGCAGAGTGAAGCTGGAGAAAAGGAGACTAGAGAGACTTTACTAGAATCCTCAGTGTATAAAACTGAAATCTCCTTTATTAGATCTCACGACTATTGGTTGATAAGATGACCTCTGTTTACTGTTCTTCAGTCAAGTAAATTTCCTTTTCACTTTTTTCTGCCTAGGGTTACTTGATCACAAACCGGGAGATTGTTTCAGAAGATATTGAAGATTTTGAGTTTACACCCAAACCAGAATATGAGGGCCCCTTCTGTGTCTTTAATGAACCAGATGAGGTAAGTAGGCTTCCTGACGAGAGTTAACGGGTACTTGCTTGCTTGTTAGTCACGAAGTCATGTCTGACCCATCGCAACCCCATGGACAACTTTCCTCCAGGCCTTCCTGTCCTCCACTATCCCCCGGAGTCCACTCAAGCTCACACCGACTGCTTCAGTGGCTCCATCCAGCCACCTCATCCTCTGCCGTCCCCTTCTTCTTTTTCCATCTATTGTTCCCAGCATTAGGCTCCTCTCCAGGGAATCCTTCCTCCTCATTAGATGGCCAAAGTATTTGAGTTTCATCTTCAGTATCTGGCCTTCTGAAGAGCAGTCGGGGTTGATCTCCTCTAGGACTGACTGTTTGATATAGTTGCAAATCCTGTTTCTCCGTTTGCTTAAACAACAAGTCAATGAAATAAGGGAATTAAATTATAAGCAGAATTGTGGTTCCACATTGTGGGCTCCATTTGTTAACCTTTGAGGGAGTGTTCTGAATGTATGTAGTTTTGCTGTGCAGTGTAAAATTCATCATCCTGGGCAGAAGTAACCTTCCTGAGAGTGGTTTAAAAAAGAAAAGAAACAAGCTTCTTGCCCGTAGGACTAAGTGGGACTTTAGAAAAGCAAGTCGAATCTCAAATGTTTTTGGGCTGGGCTTTCCATTTGTGTGACTGGGGGAGGGATTCCATATATCCTGCACTTCCCTGCCACCAATCCCATGAAACCTTTGCTAATCCCTAGGATCCTAGCCAAAGCATTCTCCAAAACTAAGGTTATCTATTTCAAGAAAGTCATCCAAAACACTCCGATAAAGGCACCTTTTCTTAGCAGAGTGCAGAATGCGAGAGGTTCGTTCTTAAGTTGGTGTAGAGTGCCTGAGTGCTTCCTTGGCAGGGATGTTTCCGGTCACTGGAGACATTGATGCAAAGACGTCAGTCATGGACGATAATGATCCACAAACGCATGTTTTCTTCCTCATCTTAAACTCAGGCGCATCTTATTCAGCGGTGGTTTGAGCATGTTCAGGAAACCATGCCAGCTATCATGGTGACTTACAACGGAGACTTCTTTGACTGGTGAGAATTCAGCCGACTTGGGTCTTTCTGCCCCTTGAGCCCTGAAGCCTCTCCCTCCCCGAATCCTGCAGATTTCATTACGACTAAAGCCACTCTTGCACAAAAACACAGACATACGTTCAGGCAGCGTTCTGCATATTCCACCATTCTGAATGTCTCAATGTCTCTATTGTTGTAAGCCGCCCCGAGGCTTCGGCGAATGGGGCGGCATAAAAATGTTTAAATAAATAAATAAATAAATAAATAAATAAATAAATAAAATAAGTGCCTCTCTCAAGACCAAGAGCTGGGAGCAGCAGTGGTGGGACAGACTGTCCTGGGGGCAGGCGGGGGGCTGGCTAGGAGCACTGCTCATGGCAGCCTTTCAGGCTACGTGCTTGTTAAACGTCTGGCCAACCTTTCCGCCAAAGATAGTGCCAAGGTAGCCAATGGTTGCAAAGCAGAAGTACGAGTAGAACATGAATCGTGTTTCAGGCCCCGCTTGCCTGGCTTATCGTGGGGATCCTAGTGGGCAGCACTGCCCAACTGGGTGCCCTCCAGATGTGTCGGGCTCCACGTCCCATCCCCAGTGGCCATGCTGGCTGGGCATCATGTGGGTTGTGGTCCAGCTCATCTGGAGGGCACCTGGTTTGGCGAGACTGTCATGCAAAACTAGCGCAAACGTGGAGACTGTCTGTGGCTTGTCCTGAGCGCGCTCTCTGTCCCTAGGCCCTTTGTGGAAGCCAGAGCGGCAGCTCACGGAATGAATATGCAGCAGGAGATCGGGTTCCAAAAGGACAACCAGGGTGAATACAAAGCTTCCCAGTGCATCCACATGGATTGCCTCAGGTACGCCTTTTGTCTATTTCCCCCAGTACCCATTTCCTACGGAGGTTCCTCGTTCGTCTAATCCCTCTAACCACCTCCTTTCGCATCCATGGCGGCATTCTCCTCCGCCTCCCCACCTTACTGACTAGAGGTATCGTCAAGGCTTGCGCCTCCAAAACCTCCCTTTTGAGTGCCATCCACCCCTCCTCAACTCCCTTGCCTTCCAGTAACCCATCCCAGGAGACTTTCCCCAGTCTGGCCTTCAGTCGGCCAAAGTTGGCCCTCTTGAAGTCCCAGCTTCTAGTGCTTGACCTGCTGCCCGTCCGCAGTCCCCTGATCTCAAAGCAAAGGATGGAGTGATCACTCGCATCCAGAGCTCCCCTAATCTGTACTTCATCTATCAGCTTCTCCCTATTGGTCAAGACCAAGTCAAGGATGTTCCCCCCCCTCGTCGCCTCTCGGACCCTCTGTGTGAAAAATGCTCCCTCAATAGCTTCTAGGAAGCGACATGACCTGGCTGTTACCGCCGAGTGAGTCTCCCAAGTAATATCCAGGAGATTGAAATCTCCCATAATTACTGTGTCTCTCCCCTGAGATATCCTTAGACTCTGGCCTGTCAGGACATCATCCAGGGTCTCAAGTTGACCTGGAGGGCGATAACATACCCCCACTGTCAGGTCTCTTTCCCTGTCAAAACCCCTAAGTTCCACCCAGACTGCCTCTACCGAATCCCCATCTGTGCTGCATTCTATCGCACTGCATCCTATCCCTTCCCTGACATAAAAAGCCATGCCCCCACCTCTCTTTCCCTTCCTGTCCTTTCTAAAAGGGTGATACCCTTCTGTGTTCACATTCCAGACTTGCCTTTCATCCCACCAAGTTTCTGTGATTCCCACCAGGTCATACCCTCCTATTCCCAGGAGAGCTTCAAGCTCTTCCTGCTTATTACCCATGCTCCTAGCACTGGTGTACCTGCACCTCAACTCCTTCCCACCACTTCCTTTCCTTGGAGTTCCCAGCCTCCTCCTTCCTCCCATCCTCCCTAATACCTGGCCCCTCTCTGAAGGAGTCCTGTCAGTTCCTGCAGTATCTCTAAAACCCTGCTCCCGGAGCCCTGATCCTCCCCCCACACTTGTCCAGTGCAGACACGTTCCTGGGGGGCCTGAACCCACCCCCCCGGCTCAGTTTAAAGTCTTCCAGACGAAGCTCGCTAGAGCATCTCCAAAGGACCTTTTCCCCATCCTCGTGAGGTGTAACCCGTCCCTTGCCAGAAGTCCATTGGCAAGAAAACGAGTGCCGTGGTCGAGGAACCCGAAGCGTTCCTTCTGGCACCACACCCTAAGCCAGTCGTTCACCTCGGAGGCCCTCCTGGCCCAAATCCCTGGACAGGTAAGATTGGCGAGAAGGCCACGTGGGCCTTCAGCTCCCTGAGTTTCTTCCCCAAGGCCTCAAAGTCCCTGGTGGTCCCAACCACACCCTGCCTGGCCACGTCGTTTGTGCCCACATGGATCACCAGGAGCAGCTGGTGACCCCCGGAGCGAACAAGACGCTCCACTCTGTCCTTCACATGCCGGATGCGTGCGCCCGGCAGGCAGCAGACCTCCCTTGTCTCCAGGTTGTGGCGGCACACCGCCGGCTCAGTGCCCCTCAGCAGGGAGTCCCCAACAACAATCACCCGCCGCCGTACCTTCCCAGTGCTGGTGGGCGGCCATGCCCTGGCCCTCGCCTCTCCCGCAGTGGCCCCCTTGCCGCCTGGCGTCTCAGGCTGGGGGTCCTGCTGGTCCCCCGAGGCCTCATCAGCCCCAGCCTCCCCAAGTGGAGAGAACCTGTTTCCCAGCTGCAGATTGGTGCCAGGAGGAGGAGGAGGCCGTGGTGGCCTCCTCCTCCTGTGGGTGACATACCTCCATGTCTCTGGGGCTGCTGCTCCCGTGGCCTCTCCCTCAACCCTCTGTCCAGAGGATGCTGCTCCGGGGGGGCCTGGACAGCTCTCTCGGCCCTCAGCCCCTCACCTCCCCCTCTAGCAGGGTCACCATCTTGCACCGAGGGCAAGTGTAGCCCTGCCTCTCCTGGGGGAGAAGGGCGAACATGTTGCAGCTCTCGCAGCGGACAGCAACCCCCGTGACTCCCGCCAAGGCCGTCTCCTGGCCCGCCATCGGGATCCCTTCCGAGACCTTACCTTGGTCCCCTGCCTTGTTTGTCCTGCAGTTCCTCTCTCTCGACCATTTCTCCCAGATGAAAACCCACTCGCACACACACACACAAGGATAAAATAAAATTTAAATTGGAGGAAAAGCAAAGCACAGCACAAACAAAACAAACAAACAATCAAACCCCTGTGTCTCAGGGAAGGGAGTCTCTGGACAGCCCGGGCCGCAGCCGAGGGACGCAGACAAGGGATGACGCCCTGCCCCCTGCTCCCTCCTGGCCCCTCCCACCCCTCTGGCCCCGCCCCCTTCCTCTCCGCTGCTCCTGGCCCTCTGCTCCCCTGCCCAGCTCCTGCCTTGCCTTCGCCTGTCCCCTGGCCACTCAGCCCTCTCCCCCGTCCTGTGCCTCTGCTGCTCTGCCAAGAGGCCAGAGCCAAAAGTCTTCTGGGTCTCCAAGCCAGCAGGCAGAAGGCTGGTGTAGGATATCCTACGGGAGGAGTGCTTTCCCCAGGGAGGCTCACCTGCTGCCAAGTCTGAGGTCCTTTGGTGCCAGGCAAAGAGCCTTTCCCTGGCCAGGCCTCTTAATGCTGTGCTGTGGGGTGGCTTTCATCCTGGCTGAGACTCCTGGCTGTTTTAAGTGAGTGCATTATTCTGTCTCTTGCTGTTTCTGGATATTAATTTTTCAAGACCTTGACCCAACCATATTTTGTTCAAATATCAAGGGTTCCTCAAGGGGAAAATCAGAGAAAGCGGGCAAGCTTTGCAGAAAGGGCACCTGGCCCACCCACTGCCCATCTTGCCCTATAATGTGCAGCTGCAGGTAGGCGAATTTAAGGGCACTCTTTCATGTTGCGCCAGGCAGCCATGAAGGCCTAGCCCTGCTCACCGTGGACTGAGCACACACCCCAGAATTGCCTGCCGCACACAGCGGGCCTCAGGCAGTTCTCTGGCAGGCAAGAGGTTGTGGGGAGAGGCAGGCAAATATTCCGTGGTCACAGGAAGCGTGAAAAGCCATCGCACAGCTCATCGCTCTGACTCCTTATTTTCCTCGGCTCTTTTCTGCCGGATGGTATCTTCTTCGTTCCCATGTGGAATCTGCTGCCCCCTCTAATTCCGTAACCAGCCGCTCCTGGTGCTGTGTTTCTGTTGGTAGGTGGGTCAAGAGAGACAGTTACCTCCCAGTGGGGAGCCACAACTTGAAAGCAGCAGCTAAGGCGAAACTCGGCTATGACCCTGTGGAGCTAGACCCTGAAGAGATGTGCCGGATGGCTACTGAGGAGCCTCAGGTAACTTCAGGCCCTGCCGACAATTCTGCAAGGCGTTGAGTCTGTGCTGAGCGTGGGTGCATGGCAGATTTCCCCCAGTTAGTGCCGTGGGGAAGGAGCACGGTGCCGGAAGCATTTTTCCCGATGCTGTGCAATTGGAAGCCCGGGCAGGAGCGAGTCTTGAATGTCCCAGGGGCTTGGACAACATGCCGGCAGCGCTTTGCTATGATTGCATCTCAAACTTGGGAACGGGATCTCAATGTGTTCCAAAAGAATTTAAAACAGTTGAGCTGCAACTTAAAATCACTTGCAAGTTAGTTTCTCTCTGTATCTAAAAGGTTAGGGCAATTTCTGGTAAAGGTTTAGACTTGAGGAAGGGTGGTGGGTGTGGTGGTGTGGTCAGGGAGCGGTCTCAGTCGCTGCCCCTTTGCCGCTCTGCCTCTCTTGCTTCCGGACTGCCGCTGATTTGCCATTTGTTCCAGGCGCAGGGTCTGGGTCTGCTCAGTCCATTAGCCTCCATCTTCCAATACCAGGAACTGTTCCTTCAGGAGGATTTCTCTTTAATCTACATTTCAGTGCAGAGCTGCTAGAACCTTTAAGCTCAGAGGTGGGCAACTGGTGGCCCTCCAGATGTTGTGGCCTACAGCTCCCATCAGCCCTAGCCACCATTCTTCAATGGTGAAGAATCACTGGCATTGTATGCCAAGCTCCTGGAAAGCTGTACGTTGCCCACACCTGCCCTAGCTGATTAAACTAGGTGGCCAAGCTGCCGTGGGCAGGCAAGGGGTTGTGGTACCTCTGGACAAGAGTCTGTGGGCCTGGCTGTGGCGAGGTCGCGTCTACACTCATCTGCTTCTCCAGGGTTGGCAGGGCAGATCCAGATCCAGGCGCATCGCCATACCTTACTTTGGTCTGACTTGTGGCGTATATGCCACAAAACCAGGCCACTGTTGGATTCATCCTTTTTATTTGAGTGCTGTTAACTTAGCCTTCAGCTCAGAAAATCCTTTCCAAACCATCCTCCTCCTGGAGCACAGTCTCCGCCACTGCTACTGTCCTGGCAGGGGAGCAGACGGCCACGGACCCACCCAGGCCTTCTGTTCGCACTGCTGCTAGTTAACCAGATGGCTTAGCTGGCGTTTGTGCATGTGACGCACGGACCATTTTGTCGGGTGGGAAGGAATCGTTAACTAGAATATCCGCTCCCCGATACTCAGGACCCACCAGGCGGGCCCTTGGCGGGTTAAGCCACCTCCACCCTGTTTCTTCCTCTGCAGACCCTGGCCACCTACTCAGTGTCTGATGCTGTTGCCACCTACTACATGTACATGAAGTATGTGCACCCTTTCATCTTCGCCCTGTGTACCATCATCCCAATGGAACCAGATGAGGTGCGCATGGCAGAGCTTCGGCTCTGCTGTGGCGAGGCGCGGGTGACCTGCACACAAAGAGCACCGGAGAGGCGCACCCTGGCCGAACTGGCTGGCCCTCGCTGATCTCCCCGCAGCGCTCTCTGTCAGCCGGATGGCAGTGTGTGGGCAGATCCCTCGCTGCCCTCCCCCCGGCCACTGCTGCGGCTCGGGGCCTGGCAGCCGGCTGGGCTCTCTGCCAAGAGATCATCTCTGCAGTTGTCACAGGGCTGTTTGCAGAGCAGTTCAGGAAGTGCCCCGCCACTGGGGCGAGATGGGAGGAAGTGGGGAGGAGCGCGGATTGGCCTGGTGGCACGAAAGGCCAGCACATGGTTTGTTTAACCAGGGCTTGTTGCCCTGGCCAGAGTTGGCCTGGCAGAAAGTCATCCTGCTGCCTTGGAGAGCCACGGCCAAGGGAGGCTGTGCGGATGCAGGTGGCCTGACTCCCAAGGACGTGTGATCACGTCCAAGGCTCCTGTGGATCAGGAGACGCCTGTGGGGTGCAGAGGTCCTGCAGCCTGTGCTTCCCTTCCTGTAGGTGCTCCGAAAGGGCTCGGGGACTCTGTGTGAGGCGCTGCTCATGGTCCAGGCCTACCATGCCAACATCATCTTCCCCAACAAGCAAGAGCAAGAGTTCAACAAACTGACGGAGGATGGGCACGTTCTCGACTCAGAGACGTATGTGGGGGGCCACGTGGAGGCGCTGGAGTCCGGGGTCTTCCGGAGTGACATCCCTTGCCGCTTTAAGATGGTAGGATCTCCAAGGGACCGCTCCCGTCCTCTCTGCCCGGCCCCTGACGTGGGCCTCCCTCATTGCTCCAGTGTGGGGATTCGTTAACAGATGTATGTGTGGCCGCCTGAGCAGGGTGTTAGGACTGGCCCTTCGTGGCTCGGGACCCAGCTATTTTCCCCAGCACCGGCTAACGTGGGATTTGAGATCAGTGCAGGGAGTTTGGCCTGCGGTATCCTTGAAGAACATGGCCGTGGAGTAGCCACATGTAGCGGGGCCTGCTTAGTGGTGACACCTCACCTGCGGCATTGCTTTCTGGTAGAATTTCGACTGTCACTTAGGTGCCACTTAAAGGCATTTTTATTTCTCCGAGCTTCAGAACTGCGGAAGCTTCTGCTTCCCCAGTGCGCATATTCATGGCTTTACTGCAGTGTGTTGTATTTCTGAGTTCAGAACTGTGACCTCAGGGATGTCTTGCTCTTACACGGTATGTTACTATCCTGGGCTTTTTGTGAGGAAAGGCAGAATATAAATAATCTCAAAGTGTGAGCCGTCCCGAGGCTATATAGCAAGGGGACGGCATACAAAAA